GAGTAGTCATCAGCTTTGCTCTGCCAGACGTTCACAATGTCCGGCATTGCTCCTGTAGTGGGTCTTGCACCTAGCGGTGCTTCTAGGACGCAATTCTTCTGTGCAACAATGAGGATAATCCTCAAGTTACAGACCCAGTCCGTGTAATTGCTACCATCATCTTTCAACTTAGCTTTCTCAAGGAACGCATTAAAATTCAACGAAACAACAGCACGGGCCATCTATGTACAACAACATAGACAAGCAAAATACTATAAGGTACTAAGTTCATGATAAATTAAAGTTCAATTAATCATATTACTTAAGAACTCCCACTTAGACAGACATCCCTCTAATCATCTAAGTGATCACGTGATCCAAATCAGCTAAACCATGTCCGATCATCACATGAAATGGAGTAGTTTTCAATGGTGAACATCACTATGTTGATCATATCTACTATATGATTCATGTTCGACCTTTCGGTCTCAGTGTTCCGAGGCCATATCTGCATATGCTAGGCTCGTCAAGTTTAACCCGAGTATTTCTGCGTGTGCAAAACTTAACACTAGGAACGTAGAGCTTATCACACCCGATCATCACGTGGTGTCTCGGCATGACGAACTTTGGCAACGGTGCATACTCAGGGAGAACACTTATACCTTAAAATTTAGTGAGAGATCATCTTATAATGCTACCGTCAATCAAGGCAAAATAAGATGCATAAAAGATAAACATCACATGCAATCAATATAAGTGATATGATATGGCCATCATCATCTTGTGCCTTTGATCTCCATCTCCAAAGCACCGTCATGATCACCATTGTCATCGGCACGACATCTTGATCTCCATCATAGCATCGTTGTCGTCCCGCCAACTATTGCTTCTACGACTATCGCTACCGCTTAGTGATAAAGTAAAGCAATTACAGGGCGATTGCATTGCATACAATAAAGCGACAACCATATGGCTCCTGCTAGTTGCCGATAACTCTGTTACAAAACATGATCATCTCATACAATAAAATATAGCATCATGTCTTGACCATATCACATCACAACATGCCTTGCAAAAACAAGTTAGACATCCTCTACTTTGTTGTTGCAAGTTTTACGTGGCTGCTACGGGCTGAGCAAGAACCGTTCTTACCTACACATCAAAACCACAACGATATTTTGTCAAGTTAGTGTTGTTTTAACCTTCAACAAGGACCAAGCGTAGCCACACTCGATTCAACTAAAGTTGGAGAAACTGACACCCGCCAGCCACCTATGTGCAAAGCACGTCGGTAGTACCAGTCTCGCGTAAGCGTATGCGTAATGTCGGTCTAGGCCGCTTCATCCAACAATACCGCCAAATCAAAGTATGACATGCTGGTAAGCAGTATGACTTGTATCACCCACAACTCACTTTTGTTCTACTCATGCATATAACATCTACGCATAAACCTGGCTCTGATACCACTGTTGGGTAACGCAGTAATTTTAAAAAATTTCCTACGCACACGCAAGATCATGGTGATGCATAGCAACGAGAGGGGAGAGTGTAGTCAAGGTACCCTCGTAGACCGTAAGCGGAAGCGTTTATCAACACGGTTGATGTAGTCATACATCTTCACGATCCGTCTCGATCAAGTACCAAAACTACGGCACCTCCGCGTTTAGCACACATTCAGCTTGATGACGTCCTCGCCTTCTTGATACATCAAGAGGGGCGAAGTAGTAGATGAGTTCCGGCAACATGACGACGTGGTGACGGTGTTGGTGAAGAACAATCTCCACAGGGCTTCACCTAAGCACTACGAAAACTATGACGGAGGATAAATTAGAGGGGACGGGGTTGCCGACACACGGCTTGGTGTTTCTTTATGTGTCTTTGGTGCTAGCCCTGCCCCTCTATTTATATGTTGAGCCTTGGGGTTGAAACTTGGAGTAAAAGCCTCCACAAAGCCGGTTTCACCCGAAAGACAAGAGTCCTTCTCGGACTCCAGGGCCAGACGCCAGGGTTCCCGGCGTATGGACCCATATGCCAGGGACCCTGGCGTCTGGCCCCTGGACTCCTCAAAGCTTCCTTTTGCGCTTTCCAAAAACCTTGTGAGCTTTCCCTTTTGGCCCAAATAAAGTGTTCTCGTACCCAAACATTTCGGGAAACATCCGGAACCCCTTTCGGAGACCAAACACTATTATCCCATATATCAATCTTTATCTCCGGACCATTCCGGAGTTCCTCGTCATGTCCGTGATCATATTCGGGACTCCGAACAACATTTGGTCACCAACATACATAACTCATATAATACTATATCGTCAACGAACGTTAAGCGTGCAGACCCTACGGGTTCGAGAACTATGTAGACATGACCGAGACACCTCTCTGGTCAATAACCAATAGCGGAACCTGGATGCCCATATTGGCTCCTACATATTCTATGAAGATCTTTATCGGTTGAACCGCATAACAACATACGTTCTTCCTTTTGTCATCGGCATGTTACTTGCCCGAGATTCGATCGTCAACATCATCATACCTAGTTCAATTCCGTTACCGGCAAGTCTCTTTACTCGTTCTGTAATACTTCATCCCGCAACTAACTCATTAGTCACAATGCTTGCAAGGCTTGTAGTTATGAGTATTACCGAGAGGGCCCAGAGATACCTCTCCGACAATCAGTGACAAATCCTAATCTCGATCTATGCCAACTCAACAAGTACCATCGGAGACACCTGTAGAGCACATTTATAATCATCCAGTTACGTTGTGACATTTGGTAGCACACAAAGTATTCCTCCAGTAATCGGGAGTTGCATAATCTCATAGTCATAGGAACATGTATAAGTCATGAAGAAAGCAATAGCAGTAAACTAAAACGATCAAGTGCTAAGCTAACGGAATGGGTCAAGTTAATCACATCATTCTCCTAATGATGTGATCCCGTTTATCAAATGACAACTCATGTCTATGGTTATGAAACTTTAACCATCTTTGATCAACGAGCTAGTCCAGTAAAGGCATACTAGTGACACTATGTTTGTCTATATATTCACACATGTATTATGTTTCCGGTTAATACAATTCTAGCATGAATAATAAATATTTATCATGAAATAAGGAAATAAATAATAATTTTATTATTGCCTCTAGGGCATATTTCTTTCAGTCTCCCACTTGCACCAGAGTCAATAATCTAGATTACATAGTAATGATTCTAACACCCATGGAGTCTTGGTGCTGGTCATGTTTTGCTCGTGAGAGAGGCTTAGTCAACGGGTCTGCAACATTCATGGGTGTGGGCTCTCTCGAAAAGATAATACCCTACGTCCTGCTTTTGATTGTATTCATATGGGGTGTAGTACAGAGTACATGTATCTATCACGGGATTGTTCTAATCAATATGACCTCGTCTATTGACTAGCCTGGCCTCGGTTTATATAATGCACCAAGAGGCCTAGGATTTAGGAGAGTCATTGTCTTGTGCACCAAGTCTTGTGGAAACCTCCTCGTATGCGTCATGGGCTGCCCGAAGTGGCCCATGAGCGAACCACCATGGGGTCCTTGGCCCGATCCACCGGATCGGGGGACGACATGGTGAGTACCCCCTAGTCCAGGACACCGTCAGCGGGCACTTGAAGCGTCTCATCGCACGGTGGCCTAGCGATGCACAAATCACCGAGCAAGTAAGTTGATCACTAGCCGAATATGCTTTAGTTTTGTTGATCACTAGCCGGATATGCTCTAATTTTGTTGATCACTAGCCGGATATGCACTAGTTTTGTTGATCACTAGCCGGATATGCTTTAGTTTTGTTGATCACTAACCAGACATGTATAGACGGATATGTTCACTTTAGTAGTCTGCTCGTGCTTGTGCGGTGTACAAGAAGTTGGAGAAAAAGTCCTTCAACGTCACGCATTATTGGTTGAAGTTGAATGGGTAGTTGAAGTGGAACCTTTTCATTGCCAAGACCGCCACCCAAGCCAACGAGAAAGAAACCGATGACCCTATCGACCCAGCCCAAAAACCACCGAAGAAGGTTAGAAGAAATCTGCGGGGCAAGAAGTGGAAGGAGGAGAGGGCGAAGCGAGAAGGTGCGGCGGCCAAGCTGGCGGAGAGGTTCGAGGAGATCTTGGCGAAGAAGGAAGAGGCATGCGTGAGGCACTAGGACATCAAGGAGGAGCGAAAGGCGGAGAGGTTCAAGCAGTTGATGGATGCTATCAAGAAGAAGATCAAGCTCGAAGAGAGGAGGACTATGATCGAGGAGAGGAAGGCGGCGCTCGAGGAGAAGAAGGCCGCGCTCGAGGAAAAGAGGGTGAAGATCGCCACCAATGCGAAGGACGCCAAGACATTGACCTTGAGTATCGACTCTTTGGATGCTGACGTTAGAATTATCGTGCAGTTTGTCCGCTACCAGATGCTAGAGCGGCAGAGAGATCAGTTGGTGGCGGCGCAAAATGAGGATGCGGCGGAGGCGGAGGTGGACGCAGATGCGGAGGCTGTCTACGCAGCGTCGACGGCACCTCCTTGATTGGGAAGCATCTTGCCGGGATGGCCGGTCCGGTAGGGCAGAAATGCACGGACTGCCGGACTGATATTCTTTTGAATTCGAGCATGTAAAAACTAAGCATATTTGCCTTCTTTTAGTTATGATCGGGGATGCTATCCGGCGCTGATGTGATCCGATGCGTTGTGTGGATCAACGTAGATTTGAACTCGAATTTACTGGCGGACAGAATGCGGCTATAATGACTGTCTCCTATGTCTGTGTGTGCAGACGGATGCACGAGGTACTTTTGGGTTGCCGACGAAGATGCCCTAAAGCTCTGCCGTTCACTCGAAAAAGAAAATCTAAAATGTTGCCACGACTAATTCCCGGGGACTGTCAAGTTTTCACAAAAGACCTATCCACCGACCGGCTTCGCCCGACTCGACTCGACTCCCCACTCCCCAGCCCCAGCCCCAACAGAAACCCCGTCCAGACTGCGCCGCTTCGGCCCCAGCTTCTCAATCGGACATTAGGAGAGATGGGGAGGCGCCGCCGGTTCACGCAGCAGCCCACCAGCGACGACGACGACGACGACGACAAACCCGTCCCGCAGCCGCTCAGAACGACCAAGCCCACAGCCCCCCTCTTCTCGGGCGCCAAGAAGCAGCAGCGTCACCGTCCCGACGAGGACGACCTGGAACTCGAGGAAGAGGAAGAGGATGAGAAGGACCTGGCGGAGTTGAGGAAGAACGAGGAGGAGGAGAGGCGGGAGGAGACGCAGACCCGCCGCCGCAGGGGCCGCAAACCCAAGCGCTCCGCCGAGGAGAGCGACGAGGAGCCGGAGGAGAAAAAGGCGGAATCAGAGGAGGAGGAGGAGTCCCGCGAGGAGGATAGCACGGAGGCGGTACCCGTCGGGGAGCCTTTGAAGGTGACCGGCAAGGGGAAGAAGCAGCGGAGGCATTACTTCTCCTTTGAGTACGAGGGCAACACCTTCGAGCTTGTAAGCGGCCACCCTGCTTCTATTAAACAAAATTTTTTTTGTTCGATTTTATAGGGTTTTTGGAGGTTGTAAATTTTGTTATGGATTTGTGTAGGAGGACCCGGTGCTGCTCACGCCCGAGCAGCAGAAAGAGAAGCCCTATGTCGCCATCATCAAGGTCTGCAATTGGTGACACAGTTTTGCGGTTTCTAAGATATTAGTACATTGACATGCATAGAATTCACATAGAGGATATGCTATTTTGTGTCATCTTTTTCCAGATAGTCACAGAAAATTTCTATGTTAGGTAGTTCATTTTTTGCTAAGATACTGAATTATTAGCTAGTTTTCGTAAATTTAACAATGTTTTCTTGCTCATATGCTTCACATTGCAGTCAATTGTTGAAAATGGAGTTCATCATTTAGAACTCCACATGTTCACTGTGCTCTCTGCTCTAGGCTTGGTTTTGGCTGCACTTTACCCTGTGGTGTTTTTTCCATGGTTGAACAATGCTTTTATACCAGGCTTTAGGTAATGATCTATGTTGAGCGGCTTTTGTACGGCCTAGCTTGCATTCTATGATTAGAGCTATTGGCAATTCTTAGTAGTTGTGGAGCCAAAATCCCTCATCTCTTTAGAGCTGCATGAATGTTCTATGAATGCAATTGTCCCTACTTCTGTTACCTCTTTCTGTTATCTATTCATCTCTGGTACAATTGGTTCTTAATGATGTATGCTCATTTATTTTATTTATCATTGAGCAGGATATAACAGAAAATGATGGGAGCTTATCGGTAACTGGTCAGTGGTTTTATAGGCCAGAAGAAGCTGACAAAAAGGGTGGTGGGAATTGGACAGCAAGTGACACAAGAGAGCTATTTTATAGTTTTCATATAGATGATGTGCCAGCGGAGTCAGTTATGCACAAATGTGTGGTACATTTCATTCCACTGAACAAGCAGATTCCCAGTCGAAAGGAACACCCTGGGTTCATTGTCCAAAAAGTTTACGACACAGTTGCGAAGAAATTGTGGAACTTAACAGATAAGGATTATGAGGATAACAAGCAACACGAAATCGATCTCCTCGTGAAGAAAACAGTGGACCGTATTGGACAGCTTCCTGACCGTGAACCTATAGATGTACCTGCTGACAGTACTGATCAGTTCTCAAATAAACGCGGTCTACGAAAGAGACCTCCAAACCCTTTAGACGTGTCGAGAGATACAACAGGCAAACCCGAGCAATTCATAAAAGCAGAGACACCTGGGAGTGATAATCTAAAGCATTATGCCATCCTCGCCAAATATAAAGCTGTCACCAACGCCACTTATCGCGATAAGTGGCTTGATAAACTAGTAGACACTATTCCATTAACATCAAAAGAAGGCGCTGAGGCTTCTCATGCCGATGCTGGCAGTGTGGCCAAAATTTCAAATAGCTCTTCATCTGCAAGGGATAGTAGTTCAAGTGTAAGTTGCTCCTTTCTTGTAACGAGAATTGTTTACTGTTGCACGTCAAATTCATAGTTAGTAGAAGTAGTAGGGATCTACTATGTAGGTATATTAGGATTAAAAAGTAGAACATGGTTTCTTAGAGTAGCATTACATGGTTGGGGGTACAGAACATTTTCTCCGAAACTCGACAAAATTCCACTGTGAACATGAAACTCATATCCTAAAACGGTTTTGAGGTCAGCAAATCCATACAAGATACATAGGTCCTAGTGAACCTTGTGGGTTTATCATCTGCAATTGTTATTGTATATATACAATAGTAGGTAAAATTGTATGTATCAATGCTGTCTGGGTAACCCGTTAAGGCTTGTTGAGGTTTTAATGGTTTAGAAGTTCTCAAACAATATGAAACAAATACTGAAAAGTCACACCTATAATATAAGATGATCCAACGGAGCGATTGGGAAAAATATGAGTTTATGTGCCCTTGGGAAAAATAACAATCAATCATTGTTATTTTTCATCATTGTTATTTTTCATCTGGGTACACAAAGTTGTATTTTCCCAATCATTCCGTTGGATCATCTTATATACCTGGGTCAGACTATTCATCACCAAGGGTGAAGAATTGTTATTCTTCACCCTTCTCTTACTACATCACTACTCTACATTTTATGTCTTGTAAATTTTGTCTTACATCGGAAGTGAAAAGAGAAGGTAAGAAAATGTGTGTTGGTCGAAAGAGATATTTCACGTGACGCAAAATCATGAACGTAAAAATATAGTATAAAATATACATATAAATGTAATTTTTGTGGTTTTATGACTCATATCTTCTCTTATATCGAATTTTGAGTAGTGAATCAATATGAACGTAATTATTCGTAAACAAATGTAAATTCTGAATGTAATGACGTAAAGAAAACCACCCTGGGTGATGAATAGCATTACACCCATGGTTTTCTTTACGTCATTACATTCAGAATTTACGTTTGGTATACGAATAATTACGTTCATATTCAGAAGTTATGTTTGGTATACGAATAGTTACGTTCATATTGATTCACTACACAAAAATTGCTATAAGAAAAGTAAGATATGAGTCATAAAACAACAATAGTCACATTTATATGTAGTGTGGTAACGTTATTGGATTGTTGGCCATTGTATGACTTAATCCAGTTTGGTATCTGCCATATATTGTTTCACTAGCTAATTTCATTGTGCCTGTTGTCTGCTAAACTGATTCTTCTACTTCCTACGTATGAAAAGTTTCAGTTATAATTATATTTTGTTATTTACATATTGTTGGCATGTCTCGGTTATTTTTTTTATTCACATACTGTTGGCCTAATTCTTCTACTTCTTCTACAATTATTTCCAATTTTTAGCTAAAAATATATTATTATCAGCCAACAATGTGAACTGTGCATGCTTTTCCTATGGCTAATTTTGGCATGCTAAACTAAGGTCCATCCTTTTGTCCTACGTTTACTTGTTAACAAAATAGTGCATGCATCTACAATTATTTGATGAACCTCCTTTTCTAGTTTTAGGCTCGATTTTTGCGGTTGCTGAACCATGTTGTGCTGAACTTACTTTATAATCTGCTGTGAAAAATAACACAAAGGTAGAAAAAGTAGGTGAGCCAAACAGAAAATATTTAAAAGCTTAGGAAAGCTAGATTATCATAATCCACGTCAGTGCCATACACAGCCTTAAAATAAGTTCTGGGTCTGTTCTGTTTTCATGCTGGTTTGCTGTATTCTCTTATTGTTGCATTTCATAAGAGATCTAGATGAGCCTTCTACTTGTTTCTTGGATCCCTGTTTTTTTTATCCTTTATCTTTCCTCCTTGGATGGTTGGTAATGATCTTCTATTTTCAGGATAATGAAAATCCATATCCACCAGATGTGGTTGTTTCAATAATGGCCTCCTTAGAAAGGTCTACATATGACGCTCTTCATGCTGACTTCCAGAAGTATAATCAGAAAATGAGAAAATTAGAATTCAACATCAAGGTACATAAGTATCCAGACCTTCGTTTTGGCCTATGTTTCTTGGGAACATCTATTTTCAACCTCAAATGCCAAAGTTGATATGATTATGTCCATGCTATATGCTAGTACTGAATAACTGTAACACTAGCTACTTAGGACTGGAGCTTCAAGAGTTCGCCATCATTCCCTCAAGATCGATAGTTTATTACTGGGGGTTGCTCAACTAGCTAATTAGGAGGACTGGAGCTTCAAGAGTTAGCCATCATTCCCTCAAGATCGATAGTTTATTACTGTGGGTATGCATGTCTATGCCGATGGGCATCATATGTCTGCTCAAGCATTTCTCATGCTTCCACATATATTCATCTTACCTGGCATGGATCTTAAATATTGGGAAAACTAATTATTTCAGATTGTTCCCTATGAGTAAAAGTGTAAATTTAACACATACAATCATGCGCAGTAAAATCCCAGCAGTTAGGAAAGTTAGGATTAGTTCCTTCTGTAGGAGCCAAGTTATCCAGCTTCATATGACGGGGGACATGTATCAATGCCAATCAAGATCAAAATAGTTGTTTTATTTCCTACCAATGCTTAGTCTAACTTATCCCTGAATTATCCAAGGATAATCCCAGATACATCATATTTCTTTTAAGGAACTATTTGGAAAATTCTATCGTTATTTTCGTTTCTATGGTTGCTGTAATTACCATGCTACTATTTCATACCAATTAATGATATGCGCTCCTTGACAATTTATCATGGGATCTTTTGTCATATAGATCTTTAACTCATACTGTTTATTTTGGATCCGCAGAATAGCCCTGTACTGCGCAGGCGACTGATGAACAAGGAGCTTGACCCTCCAGTTCTTTTAACCATGTCTCCAGATGAACTAAAGGTCTAGTAATTGTTTCACGTGCTTTACATTTTGTCCTTATAATAACCAATTAACCATTTTCTCTATCTCCTTCAGGACAATAATTATATTTTGCTTGCTAGTGTTAAGGAGTATTAGTATTGGTCTAGGAGTCCGTATTAGTCTATATTTCCTTCCTTGTACCCTAAGTCTTGTGTACTATATATTTGCTCTCCAACCATAACATGGTATCTTGAGCCTAGGTTTAGGATATTTTCTCCGGACGCTGCAACTCGTCCTCCCGGCCGAGTTCCTCTCCTGGTCTCTCTCCGTCGATCCTGTTCTTAGATCGATTCCACTCAATTGATTTTTTTTTGGATGAAGTGGCACCAAGCTTCTGGCGTTTTCTGGGACAAGAGGCGTAGGCCTCCAGAAGCTCCAGTGCATAGTGGATGGCTAAAGCGTGTTGATAATGTCAAGAGAGGTCGGGGTAGACCAAACTTGACTTGGGAGGAGTCCGTAAAGAGAGATCTGAAGGACTGGAATATCAGCGGAGAACTAGCCATGGACAGGTGTGCGTGGAAGCTAGCTATCCATGTGCCAGAACCATGAGTTGGTTGCAAGATCTTATGGGTTTCAGCTCTAGCCTATCCCAACTGTTTGGGACTAAAGGCTTTGGTGTTGTTATCGTCTATTTATAGGCCCTCGTTGATCTGCCACTTAGGTCTCCGCCGAACCCCTCGGCATGGGCCCACCATCTCCTGCACGTCCAGTCGCTGTCGCCATCCTGCTTGTCAGCATGCTCCTGCAAGCTCGTTCGGCTCCATTCCTGATCCAGGCCCCATGCCTTCGACCGAGCAAATCGTCCGCGATTGGCACCTGTACGAAGCACATCCCCATGCCCACGCAGCATGCCGCCCAGATTACTGAACCTGCTGGAATCTCGCCGCCCTCATCGTCCTCCGCCTCGCAGGCTGCTCCTGCCCGCTGTCCTCATATTAGTATTGGCCTAGGAGTTCTTATTAGACCCTGTTTCCTTTCCTTGCACCTCAAGTCTTATGTACTATATATATGCCCCTTGGGCCTTGTAATAAAGACAAGTTGCTTTCATAACATGGTATCAGAGCCTAGGTTTAGGTCTCCCTCGATCTATTCTTGATCTCGTCCTGCCGTTCTTGTTCCAATCCGCCTCCTCTCTCTCGATTTGAGCTTCCAGCTCGATTGAATGTTGCCCATTAGCTTCCGCGTGCCAAACATCTTCGAGGTCCAGATCGCTTACAAGTCCATGGTTGGGTTGGGCTTGGTTGGCCGATGCCCAATTGAAGATCTCCTAGGCTGGGCCTGTTCAAGCCGCCGCTTGTGCGTGCTGCTGCTGCAGCTCCCTGGGTGACCTCCTTATGCCATGCGAGCCCACCATACCTTTGTCCGTCAGCCTTTCTCTGGTCCTGATCCTTTCTATACAACTTTTGTGGCCTGCTTACCCTTGTTGTTTTCTTTAGGATTTTCTGGACTCTTTTTGCATTGTCGATCTACGCCCATTGTGCCTTAGCCGCCGAGCTTCTTTCGCCGTCGGTTGTCGTGGGCTATGATTTTCTGTGCAATGCTTTTTTTTTTCTTGATGTGCCATCTTCCTTTGACAACCCATCTTCTCTTGATACTTATCATGTATCTTCTAGTGGTGTGGTGTCTTCCTGTGATGTGCCATCTCTTTGTTATCCCCTTTGGCTTGACTCGACAGATTTTGAAGACTCTTCATGCTACGATGACACTCTCAAGACGCGGATTTGGATTATCATTTATTTTTTCTAGTATTACACTTCTTCAAATGCAGTGCTGTTGCATACGCTTTGCATTTGAGGGGGGAGGGGGGGGGGTAGGAAGTATTAGTATTGTGGTCTAGGAGTCCTTATTAGACTATGTTTCCTTTCCTTGCACCTCAAATCTTGTGTAATATATATATGCCCCTTGGGCCTTGTAATACAGATAAGTTGCTTTCATAACAGACATGATCACTGCCACTGCAGCCACCGGCTGTACCGCAACGGTCCATCTGCACCCAGGCTGACCGCTTCACCACCCACCGTGGCCCAGGGCAGCCGCACCTCCAGTCTGCCCGCCCCCAGCTTGACACATTGAGCCGCCGGGCCTCCTACTCCTCGCAGTGGTCCACCCTGGCGACCACTCCACCAGCGACTCGCCATGCATTATGCTCCTGCTCCACGCATGCTCCCGCACGCCCGAGCACGCCTTGTGCTATTTGCTGGACGCTGGTCCTCTGTTTCCCCTGCTGTGGAATTAGCCTTTGGGTGTGATTACTCGTGGGCATCTCACCTGTATGGCCTCCTTCGCAGTCTCCCCTGCAAACACGATGGCTCCTGCATCATTGTCTCGTGTGTGCCTCCTAGCTTCTATCTTTCTATGTCTCCGATGCGTCCACCACATCCGTTGCTCTTTCGTGTTTCTCATGCATGCGATTCCACCACACCATTATATGCCAACCTCCTTTTCTGATCTTGTCCTTTCTATACAACTTTTCGTGCTCTTTCTGGTCCTTATTGTTTCTATTGGATTTTTGTGGCCCCTTTTTGCATTGTTGTTGATCTATGCCCATTCTCTTGCCGCCGAGCTTCTTTCGCCCCCGGTTTCTTGGGCTACTTTTTTGCGCAGTGCTTCATTCTCTTGATGTGCCATCTTCTTTTGATAAACCATCTTCACTTGATACTTAATCTTCCTTGTACGGTTGTACCCCAAGTCTTTTGTACTATATATTTGCCCCTTGGGCTATGCAATAGAGTAAGTTGCATCCATAACAGCTAGTACCCGACTAGTACAGTTTGATAGGGCAAAGGATAACAAGACTGAAACTTTTCTATTTAGTACAAAGCATTTAGCTTCTAAATTTAAACATGCAGCCTATCTTATGCAAACGGCTTTTGTTGGAACGAAAATAAATACAAGAAAAGCTTTAAATGATTCTGCAGAAATTGTAAAATTTGTTTGAGATAAATGTCAGACAATGAAATGAGAAGGAAAATGAAGAATTTATTTTTGACTTTGGCATAGAAATGGAATAGGGGAAGCAGGGGAGAGTGATGCTCGTCATAGCTTGATCTTGATGTGTTGAGCTTGCCATGATAGAGGGGAAGTACAAGGGCACATGCTCTGCGGCTGAAAGTGCATAGTCCAATGGGAGTAGAAGGAATTATCACTCGGGCGATGCATGGCATGCCAGTGATGTCGAGCTCTAAAGGTGGTTGCAGGCCATCATGATCATATGATTGAGAACAGTGAAATAAGAAGAAAATGACAGAGTGCATTGATATGTGGGACTTGTTAGATGAATTATTTCTTTAATATTGCCTGTGCCATTGCCATGTTGGGTTCGTCAGCCACATCTATATCATTTTTTTGTTTCGGGTTTGGGGTGGATGTCGGGGGTAGAAGTCCTTACAGCTGAGTGGGTTAAGTAGATGCATCCTAAATTCAGGGGTTTAAATAGATGTTCTCCAATTCTAATGGTAGCTGTTTGAGCATTTCAGGCTGGGTTGACACCAGCAGAGAAAACGTCTGAACCAGAAGAAGCAAGGCGATTGCAGGTATTGGTCATCAATTCAGTAATTAGTCAAAACTGAGTAAAGAAGAATATTCAGTACGATTACTAATTTTTAATGCGGAGTTATACTTATGATTCTCATATCTTGTGTTTGTTTTAACTAGATGACTGACGCACGATGTGGAAGGTGCACAGAAAAGAGAGTAGGCATTTCTGATATTATTCATGCTGGTCATGGGGATCGATATCAGGTATTTAGTTTTTCATTTTATTTTCTTTATTTCATTCGGCTATCAAGATGGGTTTACATTCTCTATTTTTCTGGATGCCACGTTGGGCCTTTCCATTTTGATTGTACAATCTACAGGTATTCCGTTTTTCAAAATAATATAATTCCATAAATGGATAAAAAGTAGTGCTAATTTTGGCATTGCAGGGAATGGTTTCAACTTTGAATAGTTCAAACCTGCCTCTAAACACTTGTTTGGTTGGTGCCTTTGTGGGCTTCCAGATCTATTCTTTTCCTTGCACATGCTTCCAGATCTCTTTAGAAGTGCTGGATTGTGCAAACCTTCTCCTATTTACTGCCATTGTTCACTGATTTGTTCGAGGCTCTTGTTCCTGTCACGAACATGCAACTTGTATTACTAGGAGGCCAAAGCCACCATATATAGATGTACATGAGAATGCCAAAAGGCAAGAATACAAAAGGCCAAAGGACATCATCAATATAACTCTTAACACCCCCCTCAAACTCATGGTGGATCCACAACACTGAGTTTGGAGAGGTGAAATCTGTGTTGCACTCTAGTCTGTGCCTTCGTGAAGAAGTCCGCTAGCTGTAACTCGGAAGGCACATACTGAAGAGCAATAACATGATCCTGCACAGCAGCGCGGACATAATAAGCATCAACACCAATATGTTTGGTAAGCTCATGCTTCACGGGGTCCCGCGCAATACTGATAGCACCTGTATTGTCGGACAAGAAGGTGGTAGGTGTAGTAACAGAAACACCAAAATCCTCCAATAGCCATCATAACCAAGTCACCTCTGCCGTCAGAAGAGCCATAGCTCTCAACTCGGCCTCTGCACTCGAACGAGAAACTGCAGTCTGTTTCTTCGTCTTCCAGGCAATGAGAGAACCACCAAGAAAAACACAGTAAGCAGAAAGTGAACGGTGATCCTAAGGATCACTGGCCCATGTAGCATCCGAATAGGCCTGGAGCTGTAACGAGGAAAAAAAGACGACGAGAGATCATGCCACGAAGATATCGTAGAACACGAAGGTGACTATAGTGAACTGAAGTGGGAGGAAGCCAGATACGATCTTTATAACGGATCAAACCATCCCTGAGAGAAAAATGATCATCTTCAGAAATTTGCACTGCTAATTTGACTAGCAAGTCCTGAGCTTCAATATTTTCTTGGTAGACATCTAAGATCTCTTGTATCCAAGCAGGTTGGTGAGAAGATATAGCCAGTAACTGATCATCAAGATGAGGTTTGTGAGACAACCGCAGCACGGTTGTCCACTCCTTTGTTGTACTTTATTTTGAACTGTATGCCCAATCGTTTGGTGAACACATTTTGTTGCCAAGTTGTGTGCAGCGCTGGTCCTCTAAATGTGCCAGACTATTGTGGTCAGTTAGAATGAGAAATTCAACATGCTGTAGATAAGTTCTCCATTGCTCCACTGCAAGTAACATGGCCATATACTCATTTTCATATGTGGATAATCCTTTGCTCATAAAAGCGATTGGATGGCCTTTTTGAAGCAATACTGCCCCTACTCCAGCATCACATGCATCTGTTTCAATAACAAACTGTTGGCTGAAATCTGGCAAGGACAAAACAGGTGCAGTACTGAGAGCCAACTTCAGTTGCTCAAAAGTAGATTGCCTTTGGAGACCAAACAAAAGGAACATGTTTCCGGAGAAGGTTTGTTAAAGGCTGGTTAATCATTCCACAGTATATAACAAACTTAAGTGGTAGCCTGATAACCCAAGAAATCCACGGTATTCTTTCAAATTGTTAGATATAGGCCAATTATTCACATCTGCTATCTTACTTGGATCAGTGGAAACACCCTTCTCAGAGACTACATATCTCAAATAAGGGATACTGTGTTGAGGGAAAGCACACACTTGGATCCTTTGACCTTCTACTGATGCTGCTGCAATAATTGTAACACTTGCTGCACATGCTGGAGATGATCCTCAAAAGTGGCACTGTATACAAGGATATCATCGAACAAAACAATATCAAAAGTGGCAGTTTGTCATTCATGACTGACTGGAATGTTCCTAGTGCTCCTGTCAACCCAAACGCCATGACATTATCTGAACACGCAGTATCCAAGTCGACAATCCTTTGAACAGCAATCATATGAACATTGAATTTAAACCATCTACAAATCTAGTAGTATAGTGCAACATATCTGGATCAGGTTCATAAGCTGTCAACTGATCCATAAGTTCAGAAAACTGACTGATATATTCCTCAACAGAAACAGCTGTTGAAGATAATACACCCTGTGCACTAAGGAATCATGTGATTGCGCCCAAATCGGCTAATCGCCGCTGCACAGAAATCATCCCACGAGGCTCGCACACAGCGTGCCGCTGCTCCCTCGAACCGCATTGCAGCCACCGCGATCCATAGATCCGGGTGGTACCAAACATCTCAAAGTAATCAACGCATCTGGTTTATCACAACTTGGGATTCTCGCCATCGAATCACAGAAAATCCACTAGCGGTGGTTTCAGTGGCCTGATAACGAGGACAAACCACTCCTCTCGCGTTGCAAAAGACTAGAGAAGGACGAACTCGGGCGTGGTAAATCGGCGAATAGCTCGTGCTGGAGGAGGGATGTAAGGCGTTGTCGCGCCCAATCCCGTCCCCGTGTAGTCGTAGACAAGCGGTGCCTCTGGGCCGGTCTCCACGCCTCCCCTTGGCGTCCTTTTGTCGAACAGATCCAATTCGCCGATGCAGGAGGTGAGACCCTCGGCAGCTCGAAGCTCCTGGATCTGCTTGAGGAGGTCCGCTTCGGCACCATCAGTGTTAGCATGCATGTTGTTGATGATGGTGCCGACCGCTGCATCAACCACCCCGTCGACCACCGCATCAACAGAACATGCCACCACCGCACGGACCGTGCTCCCCATCGCCGCCACAATGAGCGCGTTGAGCTCCTTCTGGTGATGAAGGTGGGGCTGCTTTGCTCGCCTAATTGAGCGTCTCATAGATCGCCTCGCCTTCCGGAGTCAAGTACTCCATGAGCTCTTGCCGTCGCCGCCAGACGTGTGTCGTGCAGATGATCCGACGTGAGGTGGGTGACATTTTTGGCTCTACCAATTGTTAGTTACAAGATGGTGAATCGGAGGTAGGCTATGGGATCATTTCAAATTCGCTAGGTGGGGTGTCTGTCTTGCTTACAAGGGAAGGGACAAGGAAAGGATTGCAAGTCAATGGCTGCTAGCCGTTTATCAATTAGCCACCTAATACGGAATCAACGAAGGTATTTATAATCCTCAGGTTAGGACCCAGTCCCCATTACAGGTCAATGGCTGACGGGCGCTCTTGTTGGGCTCTCTTTCTGGGCTGGCCCTCCTTGGTGATGAAGGTTGGACTTGTGTCGTTTGTAGTCAATGTAGGCCCAGTGCTAACATTGATTCCCACCAGGCCATCACTGTGATTGGGCCACCATCAGGGACGGAGCTAGGAATTTTATTTGAGGGGGCCCAGTGAAACATCTAAAGCATTGAGGGGGGCCATACATACGAATTTAGTGGTCAAATTCATCAAATCCACGCACTACATAGGTGTAGTTTGAGAAATTTTCACTGCATGGGGGGAGCCATGGCCCCGGCTCGCCCCCTGCTGGCTCCGTCCCTGCCCACCATACTGTCACTTTCTTGCCTTCGCCTCTTCTACTTAAATCTGGGCTACAGATGGGAAGATGGACATGTGGGGCTGGGTTGGCCCGTTTTGGCTTGTTCTCTGTTCTTTGCCTATTTTGCTTGTGTTCATTTGAAATGTATCACTGTTAATATGGACACAGTCTCCAAGATGCAACTCCGACCATTACTATGATGTGAGTATATTGTTAAAAAGTACAAAATCACATAATTATGATATTTTTCATGACGAATCAAACGTATTACTTGTGCTATTATTTTTGAATAATATTATCCTCATTTAACTAATCTCAACTATCATTATATATATATATATATATATATATATATATATATATATATATATATATATATATATATATATAGTCGATGTTAGATAAGTTTGATGGCACACCTTAACTAGAAGCTTGGTAATTGTATCGTTGTCTCAGATTTGTTGGGATCATCTCTTAGCGCCGCGAAGAATGCAAACTTTGACCTGCATTTTTATTCAGACATGACACATGTTCTGCGATCCCATTCCTTGATCTGATCGACCAGGTTCCTGGTAACTATGGGCCGTTATACCTGTTGGGAAATCTCTCGGTAGACAAAAATTCATCGTATTCTCTTTACATCGAATGACCCAATTGTTATGATTATATTTTTCTAAAATTGTACTCCCTCCGTTCACAAATATAAGATGTTCTAACTTTTTTTTCTGAGTCGGATGTATATAGACACGTTTTAGTATGTTTGTTCACTCATTTCAGTCTGTCTGTAGTCCATATTGAAATATCCAAAACATCTTATATTTGTGAACGGAGGGTGTATCTATATTGCTATGTTTGCCCAATAAGATCACACTATTGTGAATAAAATGCCTTACCGCTCATCCATATTAGGTGAACCGATTCGTTATATTGCTGAATTTATGCTCAGTGACACCGACGCATCATTAAATCCTAGAACAAGTAGTCAACTATAACTATATATAGTTATAACATACGGTGTACTTGTTAGCGAATGCTTAAAGCGTGAAGATACATTGGCAACAGTATTAGTTATAATGTTACTGTACTTGGTTTGGCTTCCTACTGGAGGGTGTGGCTGTTGAGCATGTGTTGGAAAGGCAGTTCACTTTTGCTAGATCGAAACTTAAAAGAGTAGTTGAATTTCAAATCAAATTGTTTGTACAGTATCTCATCTATAGGAGGCCTGGAGAGTTGTTAACTCAAAGAAGTGGAGTCGTAAGCACTTTTCCTCTGCAGGAAGTGTATGCAAGGCTGATTTCTGAAGGATAAACTTCATATATCATTCTATCAATTTTTTTCCCCTCACACGATTGTAATAAGCCTGAATTTGCCACAACTGTCTCACTGAATTTGCCTCTTTATTTCAGCTCGAATGTATTTCCTGTGGTTACACATGGTTTTCGTCAAGAGATGCCATCTCATCGCTGACGGTCGATACTCCAAGTTCTGGTGGGAATGTAGGCACCGCTCCCTGGGCGACAGCAAAGTTTGATGCCCTTCAGAAGCAGCTGGTGAGCCCTCGGGATCAGCCAGACAACAAGGCAAGTGCTGATGCTCTCCAGAAGAACACGGTGGCATCCATTCCTAAACTTGAGAGGCAGAAATCACTAATCAATCCGAAGCCAGAGGAGCCCTCTGCACCCACACTGGAGAAGCAGAAGACGTTCACCAAGCCAAAGCCGGAGGAACCCTCTGCACCTTCAGCTAGTGAATGATCATGGGCGTTGCAATGTTTCAGAGATTGTACACCGGCAGCTCTTAAACATTCAGTAGAAGCATGAATAGGATGACAACACTTTCTTGTAGTCTGTCGTTAAAAATTTCGTTAAACTAGTTTCATACTTCCAGAAGCTACTTTTGATCTCACTCGTGTTACGGTTGGCACTAAAAAACTCTTAGGGCTAAAGCCACCAGTGAGGGCCAAGTGGTTGGCTCTAGGTGATTTCATCCAAATATATCGTGCAAGAGACGAGCGGAATGTTAACAGAAGCAGAACAAACCGTTTTCAGACAACTCCAGAGAACCGTGAGCTCAGGAGATCCATTTGCAGAATTACCGCTTCACATAGAGTAATAAGAGGACAAACCAAGACGACTCTACAGAACCGTGAGCTCAGGAGATCCATTTGCAGAATTACTGTCAGCAGCCCAGGCGATGACATTGAAGAAGATCCAAGTAAGAGGCGGGAAGCATTGCAGAATTACTGTCAGCAGCCCAGGCGATGACATTGAAGAAGATCCAAGTAAGAGGTGGGAAGCAGAGGACTCAAGTCGCGGGCCAGAAGGCCGGCCCATCCGTATTCGAAAGGTTCCCCAGTGGCTTGCTAGCCCAAGCTGGGCCCGCTAACGCGGGTGTAACGGTAGCTAGTTTATATTCCCCGGACTACTTTGAGAGGAGGAGAAGGACGACGGCTTCGGCCAGGCAGTGAATGTTTTGTAATTTGAATTCGCTGTGAGGGTGGTTGGGAGGACAACTAATACACTCCAATTTCTAGATCTTGCCATGAGAGTAGCAGGAACCTTACATCTGGTACTCAGAGCTTTTTGATCCTGGAGATCCCTAGCCACGTCCACGCCACGCGTTTCAAACTCCAGCAGAGAAGCACCATCATGGACAAGCTGTCGTCCGAGGGGCGACAAATCCAAGAGCTACTCCGAGCGGACTTCGCCGAGGCGCTGGACTAGAGGTTCAAGGCGCACGACGACGGGATCATCAAATCCGTCAGTAAGATGCTCAAGGAAACAACCGTAGCGCTCGACGGGCTCATCACGACGCGATCGACGGGGCCAGATCTGAGCTCAACCTCGAGATTGAGCAAATCCGAGCGGAGCTTGAACACTGCGGTAAGGACGAGGTCGCGAGCAAGCAAGTGAGCCCGTCAACAGCAAGGATGTTGGGGGCGGTCGCGAATCGACTGGGGTGGATCCCCTTGGCTTCGACAAATTCCACCGGGGGAAGGCGCATCAAGTTTATGTGCCTCCTCCAGTCAGAGGTGCGCGTGATTCCGGCTCTTCCCATGAAATTTTTTCCCCTCGTGATTTTGCTGCTTTCGATGTTTCTGATATGTTCCAATCTGCACCTCGTGTGGAATTACCGCGGTTTGATGGTGCAAACCTGCGACTCTGGCAATCTCGATGCGAGGATTATTTCAAGCTTTGGGGTACTCCTGCGTCGCGATGGATCTCGTTCGCCACTTCTCGGTTCGAGGGTGCGGTAGCCCGATGGTTGGAAGCTATTCAGCGCAGATCACCCAATCTGTCTTGGTCAGAATTCTGTCAGCTGTTGATGAACAAGTTTGGCCGTAATCAGCATCAGGCACTGGTGAGGCAGATGTTTCACATTGCTCAGGAAATGACAGTGAAGGATTATGTGGAACGCTTTGCAGAATTATATGATCAGTTATCAGCTTATGAGGAACTGCCTGACAGTTTGTACTATACGGCGCGTTTCATCGATGGCCTTAAACCTGGTGTGCGCATGTCAGTGGCGCTGCAGAAGCCACATGATCTGGATTCTGCTTATGACATAACATTACTCCATGAAGAGCTTAGTGACAATCATTCTTCAACTCTGCCTTTTAGGAAGCGAGTGTCAACAGTTACTCCTAATTCGAGAACACCAATTAGCACTGACAGAAGGCCTGCAGAAACCAACAAGTTAGCTCCTCGAGAGGACAAATGGAGTGCTCTCCGTACCTATAGAAAGTCAAAGGGTCTGTGCTTCATCTGTGGTGAGAAATGGTCCAAGGACCACCAGTGCAAATCTTCACTCCAACTTCATATTCTACAAGAAATGATTGAACATATACATAACACCAGTTCCTTCTATACAGAGTCGTCTGACAGTGATTCAAATAATCTTATGTTACTGTCTGCAGCTGCTTGTTCTGCTGTAACTACTCCATTAACAATGAAGCTAAAAGTGGTTGTTCAGGGTCAAACTCTTACCTTCCTAGTTGATTCTGGCAGCACCTTCCTCAACACAAAATTGCTTGCCATGTTACCTGTTGTACAGGTTATCAAACCAATTGCTGTGACTGTAGCAGGTGGAGCTCAACTGTTCTGTACACAAGTTGTGAAGCAATGCCGTTGGCAATGTCAGTAGTCTGTTTTCAACACCGATTTCAGAATGCTACAGTTGGGCCATTACGATGGAATATTAGGGCTTGATTGGTTGGCTAGCCATAGCTCTATGGTTATCGACTGGGAGCAGAAATGGTTTTCATTTCAGTCTCAAGGATCCTGGATTACTTTGCAAGGTGAACTGCCAGAGGGCTGTACTTATACTATCATGAGTGTTGAGCTTAATAGTGCAGACAGTGAAGAAGACAGTAAACATATACCTGAAGTGCAAGCTTTGTTAAAGAAATTCTCTACTGTTTTTGAAGAGCCAAAGGGACTGCCTCCTAGAAGGAAGTATGATCATACTATACCTCTGACTCCTGGTGCAACACCTGTTGATGTCAGACCTTATAGAGTAGCTCCTCATCTGAAAACTGAAATGGAAAAGCAAGTCAAGGAATTGTTGCAAAATGGTATGATTAGACTCAGCAAAAGTCCCTTCTCTTCTCCTGTGCTTATGGTTAAAAAGAAGGATGGCACTTGGAGAATGGTGGTTGATTATAGACACTTGAATGCCATAACAATGAAAGGAAAATATCCAATTCCTGTAATTGATGAATTACTAGATGAGCTGCATGGAGCATGCTGGTTTACTAGACTTGAGGGCAGGATATCATCAGATAGGATTAGCTCCTGGTGAAGAGTTTAAAACCACATTCCAAACTCATGAAGGGCATTATGAATTTCTGGTCATGAGTTTTGGGCTTTCTGAGGCTCCTTGCACTTTCCAGGGAGCTATGAATATGAATCTGCCAGCATTAAGAGAATTTGTCCTATTTTTCTTTCATGATATTTTAGTCTTCAACAAAACCTTGGAGGAACATCTAGTGCATGTGTACAAGGTGCTCACTACTCTGCAAGAAAAGCAATGGAAAGTCAAGTTGAGTAAATGCTCTTTTGCACAACAACAAGTTGCTTATCTAGGTCACATCATCAGTGACAAGGGAGTTTCCACTGATCCATCTAAAATTTTAGCTGTCAAGAACTGGTCTACTCCAGTCAATGTGAAGGAAATCAGAGGATTCCTGGGCCTCACTGGTTATTACAGGAAGTTCATTAAGAACTATGGTATTATCAGTAGACCATTAACTAAACTACTAAAGAAGGGTACACTGTTTGTATGGACACCAGCTACTGATATTGCTTTTGCTACTCTGAAACAAGCATTGATTCAAGCCCCTATCCTAGCTTTACCTCATTTTTCACTGCCTTTTGTGCTGGAGACTAATGCTTGTGATTATGGGATAGGAGCAGTTGTGATGCAAAAAGGTCACCCATTGGCATTTGTTAGCAAGGCCTTGGGCCCCAAAAACAGAGGACTGTCTGTGTATGAAAAGGAATCCATGGCCATTTTGCTTGCTGTGGAACAATGGAGATCTTATTTGCAATTCCAGGAGTTTATTATCAAGACAGATCAGAATAGTCTAACTCACTTATCTGACCAAAGATTGCACACCCCATGGCAAGAGAAAGTTTTCACTAAACTACTGGGTCTTAATTGCAGGATCATGTATAAAAAAGGCACTGAAAATTCTACTGCTGATGCACTTTCTAGGAGACCTCATCCATCTCCTCAAATAATGGCCATCTCTTCTGCTCAACCTTCCTGGTTGTAGGAAACTGTTGACAACTATGGACAAGATCCCAAAGCTCAAGAGCTGTTGCAACAAATGTCTGTTCAACCAACATTCGAGCCATCCTTTTCCTTGGTTAATGGCCTACTCAAGTACAAGAACTACATTTGGATTGGCAATGATGTTCAACTTCAAACTAAAATCTTCCATGCTTTTCATGCTACTCCTCTGGGGGGTCACTCTGGATTCCCTGTAACTTACAAAAGAATTCATGCCTTATTCAAGTGGTCAGGTATGAAAACCTTCATCAAGGAATTTGTGCAATCTTGCCTGATTTGTCAGAAAGCTAAACTTGAGAGAATCAATTATCCTCGCCTGCTGTCCCCTTTGCCAGTTCCTAGTAAAGCTTGGGAAACTTTTACTATGTATTTTATATCTAGTCTGCCTCCCTCTGATTAGTTTGACTGCATTATGGTGGTCATTGACAAGTTCACTAAATATGGCCACTTTATTCCAGTCAAACATCCTTACAATGCTACTAAAATTGCTGAACTTTTCCTAGACAATATCTACAAGCTACATGGTATGCCCTTGTTCATTATCTCTGATAGGGACCCCGTGTTTACCAGTCAGTTTTGGCAATTTCTCACTAAGAGGACAGGGACTACTCTGAATATGAGCACTGCCTATCATCCTGAGACTGATGATCAAACTGAGAGAGTAAACCAACAAGTGGAGTGTTACCTCAGATGTTTCATTTCTGCTCATCCCAGGAAATGGAACAAATGGTGTCACTTTGTGAGTTTTGGTATAATACCAACTGGCATTCCTCCTTGGGAAAATCTCCATTTGCAGTATTGTATGGCCAGGAACCAAGGTACTTTGGCATTACTCCTTCTGATACTATTGCTCCTGTCGGTATGCAACAGTGGTTGGACTTCAGGATTGTGGTGCAAGATATTGTCAAACAACACATGCTTAGAACTCAGCAGAGAATGAAAGCTCAAGCTGATAAGAAAT